AATTAAACCTATTCTTTTTTCTTATTTATTTCTTGTTGTTCTTATTGATAATATATGTAGCAGAATGTTCACAAATGAATGAATTTTTATGCATGTAATCCAATGAGGCTGATCACATTCTTTAAGTTTTAGAAATATTCTCGTCCTCAACTTAGTGGCTTTCTTTCATGAACAAAAACTCTTTGTCCATAAATATTGTACATAATCTTTTGAGTTGTTTCATATTTGATCCCGTTTAGATAGTTCAATGACCTATTTGTTGTTTTATTGTCATACAAAGATACATTCAAGAGTTCCTTCCCTTAGCTTATTATTTAAATAAAATGATAATTTATTTTTTAGAGTCCAAGTAAATTTCAAAAGGCTTTTCATTCATAATTAGAGAATCCAAAGACAAAGTGGTGATAAGATAGGGTGAATAGTCTTGATACCATGAGTCCAGTCAACCTGAAGTTAAAAGGAAGATAGGTATTGAATTCAATTTTTTATTGATAATTTTAAAGATCATAGACAATTACTTATACTTAGTTTTTATATTCTCACTATTTTGTATGCTTGCCATTGCTGATTGGCAAAAGTTATTGTTTATTGAAGACGCAGGCTCAGAATTACGGTGTGTAGTTCATTGTCAATCATGTTAAAACAGAGCTTGCAGGGAAAAAAATGTCTCAAACTAATACCAGTAACGCCCAGAATTAACTTCGCAGATGTCTGTAAGATCCAGTTCCATGACTGAATACATAATGATAGTCTCATCATCTGAGTTCAGAGGTGATTTTGGTACTCCATAATTTTCTCATGGCATTTTTAACATCTGAATTCCTTAGTGTGTAGATGAATGGGTTAAGAAAAGGTGTAGTGATGGTATAAAATATCGTTACCATTTTATCCACAGGGAAAGTGACAGGTGGTCGTGTATATATGAATATACATGGCACGAGGGACATAATGACCACAATTATGTGAGAAGTGCAAGTGGAAAGCGCTTTCTTCCTGGCCTCTACATTGTACTTTCTCAGGGAACGCAAGATGAGCATGTATGAGATGGTCAGAAGGAAAAGACTGCTCGAGCAAACAACCCCACTGTTAGAAACCAACTGTAAGTTGATAATGTAAGTGTCCATACAGGCAAGTTTTAAGAGTGGTTGCAAATCACAACAATAATGATCAATTAAATTGGGTCCACAAAAGGGGAGTTGCAAGACCAAGGCATTCTGAGTGGTAGCGTGTATAAAGGATCCGATCCACGCGAAGATGATCAAGATGTTGCAGACTTGTCTCCTCATAACGGTCGGGTAACGCAGGGGCTTACAAATGGCCACGTAACGATCCAGGGCCATGAGGAGGAGGACTAACACTTCCATACAGCCAAACAAATGCAACGCAAAGACCTGTGTCATACAGTCTCTGTAGGATATGACTTTCTTTGAAGAGAGAACATCCACCATTAGTTTAGGGGCGATAGAAGTTGAAAAGCAGGCATCAGCAAAGGACAAATAAAAAAGGAAGAAGTACATGGGACTCCCAAGAGTCTGGCTGCACTTGATGGTCACAATAATGAGTAAATTCCCCAACATAGTTCCAGTATACAAAATAAAGAAAATAATGAACACCACTTTCTGATTAATTGGATCCTGTGTCAGTCCAATCATTATGAACTCAGTTACACTCTTGTTTTGTTGCATTGTTTCAGTAGCTGTAGGCAAAGTGGAGGCTATAAGTACTTAATCTACAAAAAAGAAACAATTCTATAAGGGGAATATGGTAGTTAGAGCTCAAATCTCTAAGTCTGGTTATAGAAATTCTGCTTACCATTTACTCCTCTATTTATTAAGAAAGTGCTACTCACAATTTTTCTCTACATATCTTATTTAATAAAAGGTTCTAATGATAATAGACGTGTTGCTTTTGTGTACCGTGGAGTTGAATCTGACCCATAGCTGACCCTCTCACGGGTTTTTAGAGACAGTTAATTGCACAACAGGAGATTGCCCATCCTTCTCCCACTGAGTAGCTGATGGATTTGAACCGTTCATTTTAGGAATTACAGTGCAGCTTCTTGCTAGTAGGCCACCAGAGTTCCCTAGTAAAAGACTAGAAATTAATAAACATTAATGTTAGTAAATTGACAGGAAGAGAGAGTTTTCTGAGCTAAATATGGGCGGGGTTTGTTTTTGGTTTTTGGGGGTTTGTTTTGTTTTGTTTTGGTTTGGTTTTTTTTTTTCAGTTTTCAGAAGTGCCTAAATATATTAGGGACATTATAAGGACCAGTCTTTGGAGAATGATATTAAGCTTGAAAGGATTGAGGGACAATGATGGGGAGGGTGACCCAGGATGAGAAGGATTGACACAATCACTGGGGTTATGAAGGTAGATGTGTCAGAGATTAGCTCAGGAGAGAGCAGGGTTCAGAGCTACCGTACATCGTGTCTCCATGAATTGTAGTCAACTTGATGGCACATAACAATAACAAACAATATTATAAACTTAGAGAAATATAAATGTAATTTACTGTCAGAGTTTTTTAATCCATACTGCAGTTATATAATTTTATCATAGTATTAGTCCAATGTTATATTCTTATTCTTTTTCCAGTCTTTTTGGCATAGTTTCTAAATAAAGACTAAAATACTGGAGTCATAACTAAAGAAAAGGAGAGGAAGAATCTATATAAGAGCATTGTTTCAAATGTTATATGTGCAATTACACAGTCAGTCAATCAGTTAGTCACTGCTTTTGAGTTGGAAATGACTAATACCTGACCTTCAAGTGGGTTTTCTGAGGGTGTAAATTACATAAGAGATTGCCCATGTTTCTCCCACATGCTGTGTGGGTGGATTTGAACTGCCAGAGATGCACTGACTTTGAGTTAGCAGCACATCTGTCTATGGACTACTCCAGATAGTAATGATATAGATATGAGATCAATTAAGAACTTCCAAATCAGAGCTGAAGTTTTTCAATGAAATACTTGTCATGTGTATTATTGATTGTCTTATATCCTGAATTTAAGTGTGATACTCAGAAATATATGGCTCATCCAATCACAGTGTTTCAATTTTTTCATATACATGTGAAAGCTGGTCATAAGTAAGGTAGAAAGAAGGAAAAGTGTGATGTTGGTGAAGAATATTGAATATGTCATAAACTTCTAGAACAAACCCCAAATCTGCCTTGGAAATATAGTGAGTAAGTCCTCAGAAACAAGGAAAATGAAAGAGTGTTCCACTTAGATCGTATTATCCAGGTATATCATACTTGGGAAAGTAAGAATATCAAAGTAAGAACATCAGTGTAAAAGAATACCTTCAATGAAATGAGTTGACACAGCTGAACTCAAAACAGCAATGCATGTGAGAATGTCATAGGAATTAACAGCATTTCATCCTGTTAGACACAGAGTTTTTCCATGTCACAAGCAACTCAATAGCACCCAAAAATAGTAAGAACATAGTGCAGAAACTCAACAAGTTGTTATATTATATTTCTTAACCAAGTAGTCATTGTTATTGTTGTTGATTGCTGTCAAGTCAAGCACAACTCATAACAACTCTATGAAAAGAGCTGAAGCCTTTCTCTAACTATTGTACAATAGTATCACAGTAAAAATCAAATTAAATGCTAAAGTTTAAGATCTATGTATAATACATATGGTAACTATAATTTTTTCCAAATAAATAGATTTTATCATTTTAAAAAATAACAATGGTAATGCTTAACAATCAGCTGATATGAAAGGTCGTTTTTCTTAAATAACTAATTGTAGAAAACATGTTTAATTTTTTTCACAGTAAAATATTGAAATTAATATTTTGGTGAAATAGCTTTTTTCAGCTTACAAATTCATAAAGTGGATTTTTGGTAGATGCGGTAAATGTTTACTAACATATGTTATAGTTGTCATGTACCATTGAGTCAAAATTAACTCATAGATAACCCTCCAGAAGGTTTAAACAAGAGGAGATTGCTATCTTTCTCTTGAGGATCAGTTCGTGGACTCAAAGTGTCTGCCTTTGGATTAAAGCGCCTTACTTTCTAGGCCATCATAACTCTTTCATGAGCGTATCTTACTGTTATTATGTACCATTGAGCTTAAACTGTTTCATAGCTGACCCTCAAGTGGGTTTTAAATCACAGGGGCCCATCTTTCTCCCATAGAGTAGCTGGATTGAGTTGAAGTAGGTGTAAACACTTGGGGAGTTATTTTCCAAATCTATTATATCGCATCTGCATCAACCACTGATTGAATTTCCTGGAGATAAATTTACTTATGGACACAAACTCAATCGTTGTATCACTTTTGATGGTAGCAAAAGATCAGAAACTACTTGAATGTTCATAAAAGATTAGTGAAGAAGGCAAGCAAAGTACTATTATATCTACAAGAGCCTTTAAAACTGTAAGAAAACTTTACTTAGAATGTTAAGATTAACTAAGATCAGTAAAATGCATACATACCACACAAGCAAATTGCTATATAAATTAATTACATTTTGGAGAGTGAAGATAATTATTGTGTCTATGATTGTGGGGAGAAATTTAATTCTAAGCGTTAGAGATAGAAGCACTACTTTTTGGACTGCTTTTACTTTATTGGTAATAATTGAAAACATGTGTTAAGCATGATTTCCATTTAAGAAGAATGATTTGAAAACTTGTATCATAAGAGATGATCTGCTTATTTGCATTACACACTAACTGAGCCATCAAACTCTTTTCTGATATAGATAAGAAGGATCACAATATTCTCATGCAACTCTAAAATCCAGGAGTTGGAGTAAGACATTGAATAAGGTATTAGAGGCAGCTGAACAGTTCGGTGTCCTTTAATTACACTGTATACCACCACACTGCCATGTAGCTTTCAGTTCCCTTGTGTTCCTGGAAGTTAACCAAATACATTTTTGAGAACTTTTCAGGACTGACTGACTGACTGACTAACTAACTAACTAACTAACTAGCTAACTAACTATTGCTTGGACTTTCTATACTGTGAAGAATACATAGGTGTATATAATATATAATATGGGTATATATTTGGAAGCAGGAGTAACATCCACTTCCTAAACAATGTGCCTCTGGAAATCCTATAAACTTTGAGAAACAATAGTTACTAAAAGGCTTCAGGTCTTTTGTTCATATGGTCACCATGAGTCATGCTCAACTCGAAGGTAATCAACAATAACAACAGCAAATGTATATCTGCATACATGTATATTTATAGACCTGTATTTATATCTATTTATCTTGTCTCTCCTTTAATATCATACAGGGTTAAATTCTTAATTGTTTTTGTTATGTGCCATTAAGTTGCTTGTGGCTCATAGTGACTCTATGTACAAAACCCCTGAAACCTGATCTATCCTGTGTCAACTTACCTTTCTCTGACACACTTACCCCCAATACCCTAGTCACTGAATCAATCCATCTCATTAATGGTCTCCCTCTCTTTTTCCATCCCTCCACCTTTCCAAGCATGATGTCCTTCTCCAAGTACCGGTCCCTCCTAGCAACATGACCAAAGTATGCCAGATGAAGCCTCAGAATCCTTGCCTCCAAGGAGCAGCCTGGATTCCCCCTCTCTAGGATGAACCTGTTTGTTTTCTTAGCAGTCCATGGTATAATCAACACTTTCTCCCAGACCACAGCTCAAAGACATCAATTCTCCTTCATCATGCCTAGTCACTGTCCAGCTCTCTCATGCATAGCAAACAATTGTGAAGATTGTGGCCTGGATCAGGTGCACCTTAGTCTCCAGGCTGACATCGTACTCTGGAGAGGTCCCTGGCAATTCTTTATTACTTGCTGATATACTGGTGATGCAAACTCACCCAAAGTCACCTCAGAGACAGGCTGGATAATCTGCTTTTGAAGATAACAATCTTCAAAAATCAAGCCCAGTTCTCTGTATTTGTGGTATTATAATGTGTAGAAAATAACCCCAAGACAACTAGCAAGAGCAGGACAAACGGGTTAAGATTAACACACACAAATAAATACACTTATATTTCATATAATTGACATAATTAGAATGATGCAATAAGAGTAACATATTAAAAAAAGCAATATAATAATAAGATTTTTGTCTGTTCACAGCTGAAGGTGTTGACAGAAGAAGTAGGTATTATTACATAAGATGAAAGAATGAAACAAAAAAAGACCAAAGGATGAAACATGATATTCAATATGTACAATTTAATAGGATTTCACATTACTTTCTACTGTTTCCTTTACATGTCAATACTGTACCCTGATGTAACCATGGTAAAGCTATAACCTTTGTACAGCTTGAACTCAGAGATTACTTCTGTTTATAGTCCTCATCCCAGTCCCTCAATAGCTCTTAGCTCGTAGTGTTCAATATTCACGTACGTCTTTTTTTCCCTTGGATTGCTTTATTTTCTCCCCTTAAAAATGTAACATGTTATAAAACTTTTCAATCAAATAGAAGCACCAGATTTACATATCACCTTCTACACAATATTCTTTATCACTATTAGAAAATTGTCTAAACTTTCTGTCTTCCAAATGCCTTTCACCTATTTAATTTTTACTGTGATGACATTGAACTGCTTGTCTTCTGCAAATACCAAATATCAATAAGTTACAAACCAATAAAAGTCTTACCATTTTTTACATAAAAGTTAGAATGTTCAGTTGATTTTCTTTTCTTCCTAGAGTAATT